CCCAGGGACCAGGAGTAGCTGGTGAGCCTTCCTCGCTGAATGCCCCACCCCCCACCCCACCACAGGATCCTGCACTGCCTGGTGTCTGTCTGCTTCCAGATGACTGTCCTGCGGGACCTGGAGAAGCTGGCAGGCTGGCACCGCATAGCCATCATCTACCTGCTGAGTGGCGTCACTGGTAACCTGGCGAGTGCCATTTTCCTGCCATACCGGGCAGAGGTAAGGCTGCCCCCAGGGTGGGGTCCTCCTACGTGCACCTGCTGCCCAGCATGAACTGGTTCCACCAGAGTCGAGTTCCTACAGTGCCCCGCCTGGGAGCAGCTCCACTTGGCTCCCGTCCCGATACACTGTGGGCGGAGGGAGGCGGGACGGGGCGACCTGCTCAGGCCCACCAGCTCACAGGCGCCCACACGCCCCCAGGTGGGCCCCGCCGGCTCGCAGTTTGGCATCCTGGCCTGCCTCTTCGTGGAGCTCTTCCAGAGCTGGCAGGTCCTGGCGCGGCCCTGGCGTGCCTTCTTCAAGCTGCTGGCTGTGGTGCTCTTCCTCTTCACCTTTGGGCTGCTGCCCTGGATCGACAACTTCGCCCACATCTCGGGCTTTGTCAGTGGCCTCTTCCTGTCCTTTGCCTTCTTGCCCTACATCAGCTTTGGCAAGTTTGACCTGTACCGCAAGCGCTGCCAGATCATCATCTTTCAGGTGGTCTTCCTGGGCCTCCTGGCTGGCCTGGTGGTCCTCTTCTACTTCTACCCCGTGCGCTGTGAGTGGTGCGAGTTCCTCACCTGCATCCCCTTCACTGACAAGTTCTGTGAGAAGTACGAGCTGGACGCTCAGCTCCACTGAGCTGCTGGGGTGCTGGGGCCGTGCGCCCTGTGGGCCGGGGCCAGGCCTGAGGCTCGGGACTCCGCCTGCGAGCCCTGCTCCCCTTGCACGGACCCCCTTGTGCCGTGTTCACTGCTGTTGAACCCCTCGTACTTCCGGGCATTTATCACAGTAGTTCCCGAGATTACCTTCTAACTAGCCTCTCGACGACCACCTCATGTGGCCAATAAATGGACCGGGAGCGTTTTAGCTGCCACTAACTTGACCAGAGCTGCCTCCTCCTTTCTGGGTTCTGGCTGGAGGCTGTGGAGGGAGGTCCTTCAGTGCCCAGGCCTGCCACTCACAAGTGCCCAGAACAGGAAACTCAGTGTCACATACACCCCAGGGAAGTCCTCAGCCAAGTGCACACACCCTGTCCCCGTTCTATAGAAGGACTGGTAGGCGACAAAGGGACAAGGACCTATGAATGCACAGTCACACTTCCCCACCCACACTGAGAGGCACCCCACCCCAGCCCTCCCTGCCCAGCAGGCAGCTCCAATTCCAGCCCTGAGCCACCACCCTTTCCAGGAGCTGGTGAAGGCACTGCTGTAGGTGAGCCCTTAGGCTGAAGCCGGAGGCCCTGTCCATGGCTGGGCTCAGACACAGGCCTTTGTTTCCCCACAAGCAGAAACAGAGCCAGCCGCTCAGCTTTCACCTTCTCGCTGCAGAGATTACAGGGACAGGTGTGTATGGCTTGGGGAATGGGGTGGCCAAGGGCTCAGGTGCAGCATTCAGACCATGTGACGTGCCTGCACGTTCTCTGCCCTCACCTCCTCACTGTGAGGGGCAGCGCCAGTCCCGCCTGCCCCCGTACAGTGGCTTGGCTTTCCTAACTCAGAAGCAAATAGGTTTATTCTGTATACAGGGCCAGGCCCACAGCCCTGTGGGATCCGCCATGGGATCGGGGTTCACGTTGAGAGTCCAGGTGGGTCCAGCTGGGGTGAGGCTATCTCAACACTCTTCTGGGAAAAGGGCACAGTGGCGAAGGCTTCCTCCTCTCGGGGAAAAGCTCGGCCACCAGCACAGAGGGTTTTCCATGTCTGGAGATTCACTTTTGTCTCAGCTTTTTGATGAAGGACACCTCATCCCGATTCCGGATACCATAACTGAAAGAGAAGTAAAAGCACAGAGTGTCCGATCTACAGAAGGGCACATTTGTGACTCCTCACCTGAGGCTTGTGAGGGATAACAGATACCAGGTGGGAAGAGCATGGTGTCCAGGAAGGTGAGGAGGTGGCAAGGGCCATGCACACAATCTTAATTCTCTCCTCCTGGTTCTGTGCAGCCCTGAACCACTGCTGGTGAGGAGCCACAGGGCCCCTTCCATTGCTCCTCTGTCTCCCGTCCTCCTGGCAGGGAGGCCTCCAGGGAGCTCCTTGCAGGAGGGCCTCAGTCCAAACAGGGACTCTCCTGGTCTCACACATTCCCCAGGAACTGACTTAAGATCCCTCCTTCCCTTACGAGCCTCTGGAGAGGAACCCAGCCGAATGGCGGCATGGGGTATCAGAGGGCCACAGACCAGATACTTCCTTGCAGCTCAAGGCGTAGCCTGAACTTACTCTCGGAGCTTCCTCTGGTCCTCTGCGAGCTTCTCTCCTGCAGAGGTCAGGTGGTACGTCCTCCACACATAGGACCTGCAAGATGGGAATTCAGTCAACCACGAGCAGGGTGAGCAGGGCAGCTGCGATGCAGCTGTGCATGAGGAGGGCTCAAGGCGCTCAGCTCTGCGGGGCCTGAGGCCGCCAGCCTCCTCCTTGGGCTCTTTCCC